ACTGGGTTTATATACACAAACATGCATGCACGCAATTAATTTTCCAACTCAGCAGTTTTTTTTGTTTTGCTTTGGGGTATTTTTTTTTGCGACTGATGGTGAAGTAAGAATGAGGCAGCTGATGCAATGTAGGCATTCTGCCTGCATTGACAAAGTTTGAGAAATCTGAGTTTTTTTGCAACTGTTTCACAACTTTGCGTTTACCACAGTGATGTGCTGGAGGATTTATATGAGAAAAAAAAAAGAGCAACAGCGGTGATATGTTCTTACCAAAGCTCCAGCTTCACCCTCCGGCCATCCAGAAGAATAGTGGTGGTTTTATAGTCGATACCTGCACAAAGAGAAGGCAGACGGAGGCAGGCATTAGGCTAATAGATGCATCAAGAGGGACGGCATCAATCAAGATTACAATAGTGCAGTCAGAGAGAAGCCGGAGGTGAACACAATGACTCAACTTGAACCACTTAAACTGAGGGAACATTAACACACTGCAGAGGAGAGTTTTCGTCAGTCTCTGAAGATTTGGATCATGCTAATTCCTTTCTGGGTTTTTAGAGAGTCACTCTTCCCACACTGAGCTGCAGTGATTAAATCTTCAAATTAATCAAACATAACAGTCTGTTCGTGGACTGTGCACTGTCCCATTAATAAGGGAACAGCACAAAATCGTATATATCTAAAATTCAGAATGCTCTAAATTTCAACAGCACAATTTCTAGTTTGCTTTTCAAGATTTTAGGTTGAGATCCACGAGTTCATTTAATAGAAATTAAAGATGAATAAAATCCTTTTCCCCCCAATGTTTTCACTCTATTTTATTTTATTTTAAACAGGCCATTGTGCATCTGCTCCTGAACTTAATAAAACTATTAACAAGTCTAAGGAGGCTCTTCATGCTGCTAACTGTTGTTTCCTCATGACTTTCATCGTCTTGTGAGGCGTGACCAGGAAATTGTTACCATCACGGAGGATCTTGCCATTACTGAACCGCGCCTTGCGTTTGGAGCGAGGAAACACAGGTGCATCCCATTCTGAGGTCTTTTATCAAGTGTCACATAAACGCTACGCCTTCATGGGTTTGATTTGGCAGCTGATACGCCAGAAAATATTCATACTTAAGAGCTGCAACCACAACAAATTGGCTAACCAGGTAATAAAACAGTTGGTGATAAATTTATGATGTTTGCTTTTGTAAGGTGGATCGGTGGTTAGCACTGTTGCCTCGCAGCAAGAAGGTCGCCGGTTCGCGTCCCGGTGAGGACACCTGGGATCTTTCCCCCTCCAGTAGACTGAATATCTTTGGAAAAACAAGAAATTTATCATCTTAGTCTTTGGGAAACCTACATTTCAGATACAAAACAACAAATCCATAATATAAACAACAATAAAACTTAGTTGCAGCTCCAATCAGCAGGTTTCATACTCTGGTACCTGCGTTGGAAGAACCAGATTTGCTGCCAATCCATCAAACAGTTGCTAAGACATGTCAGTCAACAGTCACGCAGTTAACGTGCAAAAACTACTCCAGTATCTAAATGAAGTCTTTCAACACAAAGTCAAATAAAAACATTACAAAACGGAAAAACAGTTTAATTGAATCACTGCACAGTCATGAACTTTCACATGTGAATCCTGACGAGCGTAACGCGGATAATGTTTACAGTTTAACCGTCCGTTGGCAGCAATGCGGCGCCGCAGGCAGCCAACAGATCGGCTGTTCAGCTCGGCTCTGACAAACCAGTCTGACTGCTACACCTGCCGCCCAGCTGCTCCACGTCTGGACACGTTTCTGTGGGTTCCACCGAGTCTGGTACCACCTGAGGCCAAACAGGTGAACCGCTGAACAGTCACCACCTCTGCTAACATGTTTATCTTTGTCCTCGGAAGGTTTATGTGTCGACACCGGATCAGTCTTTAAATCTTTGGTGTTTAGTAGCTTGGATAAGGCTGAGGATGTTCCACACATCTTTCTACAGCTGAAGTAGAGTGAAAAAGCTGATAGTATCTATAGTATGTGGACATTTTTCTTTTCCAGTGTCTGCAAGAACTGTGTGGGAAAATGCTGCACATGTTAATTTTTCTACAATTTGTAGAATAAACAATCAAAAACTTGTAACTTTTTTCTTTTTGTGTTTTCTTTCCATCTATGTCATACAGCACAGAAGACATCTCTGAGTTCTCTCTCCTTCTCTGTAGTTGTTCTGTTTCCATAGAAGTGCAGGACTTTATATTGCGGGAAAAAATGAGCCACAGTGAGTAAAAATGTGACAGACTTCTTGGGGTCCAGAGGGTTAACCTGCCAATCAGTCTAAATAGTAACAACACAGAGGAACCAGATGTTTTTCAAGTAATAATCCACTGTAAAATGGAGAAAAGCAAATCACATCTGTAGGAGAAACAAAAATGATTCTCACAGATGCATATATCTAGGTATTTCACAGTAATTGCTACAAACACAGCACCCCACCAGTAATATTTCACTCAGAGCAGCAACACAGCAACCCTCCTACTTCCTAGACTCTCCAACGTCACTGCATCTGCCTGTAACAGCTGCTGGCTAACAGCATTAGCAATATCTTCCAATTTTCCAGGCAACATAAAGCTGCTGCTGTGCTAAAGTGCTGAGCTCAGGCTGGTCTAATTGAATTGGAGTGAGTGAACCGAGTGCTTCCTCTCCTCTGGTTGCCAGGGCTCACTTAGATATCCCAGATAATCAATAGCTTCTCTGATGTCTTCGCTGAAGACTGCTGCTTCTATTCTGGGAGCTGTGTGAAGCTTCGGCTTTTGTTGAGACGTCGATTTAACTCTGTGGGAATGTTTGACATGTACTGTACAGCGACACAGTACGTGTAGAAGTAGGCGATATGGATAAATAATTTCTCACAGTATGCATCTGATTATATGTATTATATCAGGATATAATTTGATTTCTGACAAGCAAGCTGAGAAACAATTTAGCTAGAAGGGTACAAATGTCCGTATAGATTCCACAAATTAAGTTGCTTCACCTAACTCATATAAAAATATCATTCCACTCATTTATTTGGAAGATTGCCACATAAAAATCAACCACACATACGATTTTTATTACAAAATCTTTACTGGTAGACAAATTTATATCGCGCTCATTTTGCAAAACCATATAGGAAAGTTTTTTTTATTTCTATCTATACTTTTTTATTTACTGTTAATTGAGCATGATGTGTGAACAGAAGGTTGCTGCATGGTTTTCCTAATATTTTTCTAATTAAAATGTACAGTTTTTTTTCCCTTTTACTGTACATGTCAGCATTGAAGTCTTCCAGGATTCACCTTTGGGGCTTCTTTCACTCAAGCATAATATGTACTGTTGGTTAACAAATGGTCAGAAATCGCAAGAAAGTGCAACAATTTCTGTCAAATAAGAAAAAAAACAGACTCATTGCTTTTACCGTAGGTGGACAAATCCTACTATTAAGTCAGGAAAAACCCAATAAGACAGCAATATGTTTAGATTTTGGGCTTTTGGTGGGTCAAAACGAGCATTATGAATGCAACAGTTGTATGACATTGTACAGATAAAACAATCAAGAACTGCTTTCTAATTTTTGTGGAATAATCTTTGCACAAAGTCACACAAGAATAAAAAACTTGGAAAATTACTGTCTATAAATCCCAGTCTTATGTCTAGTGTTGATAATATAAATTTTACTTCTTTAAAAATATGTTTCTTACTGAATGTCCTGTGGTTTTGTGCTTTAATAGTTGAATTTTCTCAGCACCAAGAGGATTTGCACTGCTAATTCCATTGTACGAAGAGCTTACAATGACACTAAAGGATTTATGATTTCTGATCACCACAAAAAAAGTCCATTCATTTCCAGTGCTGCTTACAACAAGCACATAATAACGTAACAGAATCTCCTTTGTCTCATTGACAAAAATAAGTTATTAAACATAAAATTAGTCATAGATTCCTTGGTTTTAGCACCATAAAAGGATTGGAGTGTCGGGGTTACTAATAATTTCTAAATTATTTCTCTGCGCTGAGATAAGGTTTTGAATTTCACAGTCGGCTGATGGCAGCCATCAGATAACAGCAGCCTCCAAGTAGAGAAGCCAATTAAAATGCTAAAGCAGCCTGAAAAGACACTTTTCGGTGCATCTGCCAGACAAGTGAGGCTCTTAAATCTTTTTTCCTTCAGCACACACCAACAATTGAATATTCCCCTGGGGCGAAGCAGGCCCGGCAGCCCTTTGTTTAGTCATGGCAGTGGACCGGCTCGTTTGACGGTAGCATATCCACAGACAACAGTTATCGCTGGATGCAGGCCAGCTCGCTGATAACCCCCCACACTGCCCTCCTGCAGGAGAACAAGGTTTATTGTGTGTGACAGAGAGTTGGGAGGTAAATGAAAAGCTGAACCTGGTCTAATCCTCTTCAAAGATGCACAGACTGACACCCCGAATGTTCAATATCAGCACAGAGCTTAGCTGTAAATGCAGCTTCACTGCTGTCAAACCAAGTCTTCTGCACTTTTCTTTTTCTTCTCAGTTTTAATGTTTTTCTTCACATTTTCACGTCGTAATGCATTTCCTACTAGTTACGGTACTTATCTGCCCTCGACATGTCCCAGTCTGAGTGTGCTGTTTTTATTATTCTACATAATACAGCTTGCACACTGTGCAAACGCTGAAACCTACACTTACATACACTCTACAGCCTAGAAAGTGATTCGACAGAGCAGTTTACAGTTAAAAAGGAACTGCTTAAAATTAATTTTTGAAACATGTTACAGACAAATCTATAATAAAAGGGATACAGGACTTACCTAAACTCAATAAGATGCAATAAATGAACAAATGTGGCCAACCATACGTCCCCAGCGCCTACAGCTTCCACCAATGGGGATGCTGAGAAGTCTAAGAAGCAACCAAGTGGCAGCTCACAGTTTTGCATCTAATCCATTCAGGTGAGACTAAATCAGAGAGAAAACGTCTGTATAAAAACAGTAAAAATGCAGCAACGATGGTAGAAAAAGTATGTTTTTAAAAAACCCTGTAAAAACAGTGCAAACATTTGCAAAATAATGGTATTTTTAGCTGCCTTTAATAAAAAGGTTATTTTTATGATGACAAATTTGGGAAAAAAAACAAATTATTATTTGTGAAAATACAGATTTTTGATGTGGACATTATTTACAGTTTTGGCCTTTTTGTTTTTTTCTTTCTTTACTGTCAACATGTAAATCATGTTTTCCTTTTCCTTTATTTGAGTAGATATCTGTATTTTAACAAAACAAGGAAAATCTGTAGAATACCAGTTAAATAAGCTTCTCGCCAGTTTTATATCCACAATATTCTCAGAGGGATTTAAGCGCTAAGAACCATAACATTCTTCTCCTGACAACATTCTCTCTGAGCGATTCAGATTCTCAGCTGAACCTGCTGAACTGCATGTTAGTAATTCTAATGAACCACACCGCTCGGCTACAGTAACACAAACTGTATGCATCGCGTTGCCACGGAAACCTACATGAATTCACTTGGTGATGCAGAAAATACATCAGTCTGTTTTTATGTTTGGTCCTGATTTACCGCCCAGTCTGTTTTACACTGCTGGTGGGGCACTAAATAAAACACACATTAGAAAACTGATCAGTCGATTGGTATTCATCAGAGAGAACATTCAATCAGTAACATGACTACAAACTACAAAAATGTCCACGTCTCCATTATGAACAATGAGTCTAAAGTCTTGCATCTAAAATTTAAATGTATGAAGTTTCAAGTTTCAGGGCTCTAATGTGAAGCTGTCGTTTTAGAAATACCATTGTATTATCGGCTCTCTATCTCGATTCTCTCCTGCTTGATTCACAGTAGCAGCGCTTTCATACGTTTTTATATTCCTCACAGCTCTCCATTACAACATGTTCCTTGTGTCGTCTCCCCATTGGTCAGTTTTGAGCAGAAGAGGAGTCACAAGACGTGAATAAAAACCTGGGTAACAAGGAAAGCTGATAACCACTGTCCAGAGTTTATATTTGTGATCGGAGTTTTAGGTTTTGTTGAGCCAATTTTAACAATAAAAGCCTGACAATGTCAAACCTCAGGTAAGCGGCCTCTGTTGTATCTCATATGACTCTATTCTTCCAAATTCTCTACTTACTACCAAATTTTACCCAAAATAACAGTTGGTCACCAGTTTTCTGTCAGTGTGCAACTAAGTTCACAACTATTTGCTTCTGCTGTAGCATCAACATTGCAAAACAACCTAAAAACCCTGACAAAGTCGCCTCACTTTCCTGCCAAGTGTGAGGCATTTGTTACTGCTGCTGGTCACCAAATTAATAATCAATAAATCACCCAGGAGGAAATGTTACAGACCAGTCTTTCCAACCGACTCCCCCAAAATGTGCCAGTGAGCCAATCGCACCCCGAGGACAGTGTTATCCAATCAAAATCTGCTCCTGCGTCCTGATTCTTTCCTCGTGAAATATTTAAGGTTCCTCGTCCTTCCACGCTAACCTCTTTTTGCCAGAGGGATGGAAATCAATAGCGGAGCATCTGTCTGCACAAACATCCACTCTGCCTTCCATATTTAATGAAGCCGTTTGAAGGCTTTTGATCTCTCTCGCATCAATCGAAGCTGTTCCTCTTTTGGAGACTGTTTAGGAGCTGGCCTGGCTCGCATTTTGGCAAAGCAGAGCTGCGATAAATATTTGATTAATCAGTTGATTAACTGGCAGCGATTCTGAGTCAAAAACTAGTTTTCTATAGCAAGTCGGCAAAAATCTCTGGATTTTGGACTGGCAAGACAACTGCAAATTGTGTATTCGATGCATGAAACAATCAACTACAACTTAATCATAGGAACAATTTGTAGATTTATCAATAGGTTAGCTGCAGCCCCATTTAGAAACTCATCTTGATAAAATTCATGCACCAAACAAGGTTCATGATGCATCAAATCAATATTGCAACTGTAATATTTACCCTATGAATAACATATTTATGTTGAATTCACTGGTTCAGACCCTGAACCACAGCACAAAACCTCCTGTTTCTTGGGGAAATCCAAAGTTTAAAAGCCTAACTTTTGCAGGCTTTTACATTTTCTAACAAAGGTGCTGAGAAAATGTAATTGCTTTGGTGTATGGAGTAACATTAGCAAACATTGTTGAGTTTTCTAAAATCATATTTACTGGTCACACCCTGAAATAAAGAGTCAAACCTCCTGTAACATCAGGGAATCTAAAAGCAAACAGCTTAAAAACTGCAGGTCTTTACATTTGCAGACCAAATGGAAAAGTTTTGGTAAATGGAGAAACATTGCTTCTGTGCTTCTACTGCTGTGAAAAACTATGACAGAATTATTCCATACAGCATGTTGACATGAGTAAAACTAGGTCGATTAGAAAGCCCACTCCTGCTCCAACCACCTTAAACAGACACTCTTCAGCTCTTCTGCTCATCACTATGAGTTTAACTGCTGCGACAAAACATTTAATTTGGCCGACAGCAAATGTGGAAGTCTGCAAACACGCGACCAGAGGGAGGGTCTTCACTTCGCTGCCAAACGCCAACAGGCGGCATCAGCCTTTGGCAGAATTCATCAGATAAACGCTGGTGAAAAGGGGTCATTCTGACGACTGATGTATTTTTCATGAACAGTTGCTGCTATGGCTTAAAGCGAGCAGAAGGAAATCATCGCTAAAATGAGACTAATGGTCTCATCTGTGGCAGTAAAGACGAGAGCAAACATCTGTTTAAATGCACATTTTATCTTTAAGGAATCAGTAATTCACCATGTAACAAGCAAATAACAATGAATTAAAGTGGAGAAACTGGATTAATTAGGCCTGTATGGCTCAAACGAATTATTATTTTCATTACTGATTTATTTGTGATTAATCGATTTGGTTTTCTGTCTATGAAATGTCAAAAAAAAAAGGGTTTAAAAAATGTTTTTGTATCAGTTAAGATCCCCAAAGCCCAAGATGACAATTTTTGTCCACAATCAATCATATCATTCCAGCAGATCTTTAAAATCAGCACGCGGATATGTGAAAGTCTCCTGAGTCATGTCTGCTTTCACTGTTGTGATTTTCACCACAAAACCACACAACAGTAACAGAATGTCTGTTGTGAAAGAGTGTTTCCCATGTGTATAATTACTAAGGACAACACACCCAGATGGATTTACAAAGCATTTTTCTGTATTTTCACTTTTCATCTTTGTGAAAAAAGCCAGTGGAGCTACAAATACGACACTCATAGGGCCTTTGTTTTGTGACGCCTAATATGACCAATAATATTTGTTTATTTTTAAATGCAGACTAGAAAAGTACCTCATATTGTTTAAGTGGATGAAAGTGTAAAAGTGCAGCTATTAAGCCCTGTGCTAACTGCGACAAAACCTAAGCAATAAATTAAATAAATGGATATTATAACTTCTAATCAACCCAATTTTACCCATGTAGATTGTATGCTGATTTGAAAATCAACTTTGTTAGGAAATGTCAAAATCTGCAGGATTTTAGGTCATTTAACTTTTGATTTTCTGATGTTTTATTCTTTAATTTCAGGGCCTGAACCAGTGACTGTGACATACAAATGTTATTAACAGAGATACACAAGGTTTGTGCACAAGTGTTTTTAGAAAATAATCCTTAAATCAGATGTTATCAAAGTAAATATGGCAACCACGATACTGATTTTATGCTGATTTTGTGCTCATTTTCTGGTTTGAGGATGTCAGCAAAAAATCGAGGCATTTGTTAACCATAACAAATGTGAAAATGATTGACAACTTTTAAGCTGCAATTATGTGAAATTAGAGAATGCTGATGTTATGTTATTAATTATATTTTAGTAGGCTTACACCGTCAGCCTAACAGTAAAACAAAACCAACAAAAAACATCTCATACCTTAGGACACAAAGTACACTAAATGTTGTATTTGTTCTGCTTATGAATTCAATGGTGCAAGCGTTCTAGTGAATCCATTAGCCGTTCTTGTGCAATGTTTACATGAGAAGTTATGAAGCATTAAATAGAACAATCTGCCTCTCTTGTATGGCTTCTCCTGCGGTGGAGGTGGGAGTTTGCATTACACAGCAGCAAACCACAAGCTGACTGCAGATCGAGGCTCTGGAGAAGCAGCAGCGAGACCCAGGTGATCTGAACTCCCACTCCCAAAGAGAAATCACCTGACAGGGCACGGGTCTATCAGCCTTCCCCTCCTGTGGATGGAGCTAAGTGGGTGTTCCTGAATGTACCTACACTAACAAATACAGCCAGCTTTTTTTTTTTTTTTACAGTTGTACACCACTGAAGCTGTTTGGGAGTAAAAGGAGGAGCCATATTGAGTGGAAAATATTCAGTATGAGTACTATGTAGGTCTAAAGCGCACTGTTTTGCGGATAGACTCTGAGGTCAATGAAATGCATTGTTTAGCAAGTAAAGCAACAACAATGAACATACATTCATGAGCGTCTGAGTCACGTCCACATGAACGCTCTGTGTTACGAGGGTTAGTGTATGTGTTTATAAGGACAGTCATTGTGTACCCTCTACAGTCCACACAGCAACAGCTAGAACGTTCAGGGCTTTTGTGATGAGCGAGCATGACACAACACGAGGAGCATATCATCAACATCATCATCATCATCACAGGTCAGCTGAGGCAGGAGTGACTCACCACTACTGTAAGCGTACGGGGACTCTGCAGATCCATCCTGCAGGCTGTCCAGGATCTCTCCTTTGCCCACGTCGCTGTCTCCGACCAGGAGGAACTTGAGCAGGTAGTCGTAGCTTTTCACCGGGCTGCCCTGGCTGCCCATGGCAACTCACATCTGAGCCCGGCAAGGCTGAGGATGAGCGACTGAAGAGGTGGACGGAACCCTTATATACGTTCTCCCTCTTGCTTGATCCAAAGCAAAGTCTGTTATGCCATGAACTTGCAGAACGGAGGCGTAAAGTCTTTGTTTTGCTTCTTCTGGACTGTGTGCAGGTAGGTAATTTTCAGACTTAAAATAAGGTCTGCAGTCTCAGAGGAATGTCCTGCACGAAAAACAAGCTGGCTGCCAAAAATGTGGTTCTGGAAAGCACAACATTCTTATTGCTGAATTTAAAGATAAGAGAAATTATAGTTTGGTCAAAGGTGGAGCTCACAGAGGGGGAAAAAACTTAACCCAATGTGAACTGCTGTAAAAACATGCAGCCAAGACCAAATTCTTTTTTGTTCCTAAAATTCCTTATCGAAGAGAAGTTCAATAAAGATTAAAAGCACAGATAACTGTATCCGGACAGTTTATATAAGGAAGAGAAATGTAAGGAAGAGAAACATGCTTATTGCTGAAGTTAAAGATAAGAGAAAATACAGTTTGGCCAAAGCTGACTTTCACTGGGAAAATAAACTTTACACAACTTAAACTGCTTCAAAGAAACAATATCCAGGAGGAAATTCTTTTTTGTTCCAAAAATGCCCTATATCGTGGCGGTTATTAGTTATTACAGATTAAAAATCACAGATAATCAAAGTGTAACTGAAGCCGGACAGTTTCCAATCTGGATGGCAAAATCTATGTAAGCAGGAAAATATGCTTATTGTCTGGAATGATAATTACAATAACCTCAGCGACTACTGCCACTTTAGAAATTTTAAAAGCACATATATCTGAGGAAATGAGTTTTCGAGTCAACTAACACAAAACCAAACCAGGAGTCTTTTTGTTCCCATTTAAAGGCAGCTTTCTTGCTAAGTTAGCAGGGGAACAACAAGCTAGCACTGCCGGACAGCTAGCAAGCTAGCTTAGCTATTCTCACTGCTGCTGCACAAAACACCTCAAATTATTCAGAGACACTGTCACTGCTGCGCTACATTTAGCGACATAATGTTACGCTTTATAAGACAGTTTCCCAGTGAATAGAAAAAAGAGCAATGCTAATTCACAGAGAGCTAATTGCTAACTAAGCTAGCTCAACTTCCACGGACGTCCGTGTAATTTCAGGCCGCCTTGTCTTTCTTTAGTCCGGGATGACAAAGATTCCCGTAACTTCACTGCGTCGTAAGTTATCCAGAAAATCCCCACATCTGTGGCGGGATTTAAAACGCAGCGGGGTTCTTACGTCCAGTCCGAACCTCCGTAGGTGTCCTCGGTAATCTCAGTTCGCCGCGTTTCCATTTTTCTCCATTATTCTCAGTCATAATCACAGCTGTGTCTCCTCAGCGCCGCACAACAACACTGAACGCAGCGCTGACAGATCCGCTGCTCCCCCTCCCTGGCCCCGCCCCCTGCACCGAACCCCACCTATTCTTACGCATGATTGGACGAGAGCTCCGCGGCTCCTCAGGCAGCCTCTTCCATTGGCTGAACGACGCGTCCGTCAAAGGCTCGCTGTCAACAACACGCAGATGGCGAGAGAAACAACAAAGATGATTCATTTCTCTGGATGTAAACAGAACAAAGACACCTTTTCATGCGGGCAAATCATGATTAAATTAAAGCACCATTTGAAAGTAAAACTCCGACACTCTGACAGACACTCTTAGCTAAATTAAAGTCGTCATTTTGGAGGGAGATGAGGGGAGATCTTGCTTGCCTTCTTGCAGTCTATAAAAGCACAGCATATCAGTTTAATCTCTGAGCATCAGTGTGCACGTAAAAAAAACAGGTTAAACTGAGATTAAAGGAAAATTGCATCAATCCTTCCATCTGACATCCCTATTCTGAGGCGCTGGTAGGATCCTGAAACACTGGGAGCTTAGCAGAGTCCAGCAGGCTTCAGATTTTAACCTGATAATTGCACCATTTTCAAGTTATCAGTAAATTAAATGTGTAATACTGTGCTTTAAGTGATCTCACGTGTTCCACAGTGATATCTTAGTGAGTACAGAAATCAGTTGTTTGCTAACTGTGCTTTGGAATTAGTCTGGTTTATGACGGTTTACAGCTATAATCATGTGTGATGGTGCAACAGAGAACAGATGAGGAGAAGGGAGGTTGGTATAGGTTATAAATGCTTCTTGTAATCTTTAATTATATACTTTTTATTAGTAATTATTAGAAATAAACCCCTTCAATAGAGCAGAGATGCAGATGCTGGTGAGGGAACATGTTCACCCATTAAGTCCCCAAAATAACACAATGCTCCAAATAGATAGCACATCTCCACCGACTCTTCACTGAAGCTACAAAATATGATTTAAGTCTCTTCCTTAAAGGTCTTCTTCTGTGGTTGTTATAAACTTGTAAGTGTAAAATAAAAGCTGTTGCAATATAAAAAGGTTTACTTCTGCCATTCCTGTTTCCAGGTGAACAATTCTGAATGAGCAGCTTTGTTTAGGTGTATTCATTTCTACAGCTGCTTCTGCTGACTCTAAAGTGTCTCTAAAAACTCACCAAATGTTGCTGTCGGCCGCAAGAGTGAACACGAGAGACTTCATGCACTCCCAGCAACTGAGGAACGGAACCCCCAGTGGATTGCTCTTATAACTGATGGCCACAGCAATAGGAAAATCCTTATTGTTCGTGTGACTAACTCTGACAGCAAGGCCTCAGGTCAGAGTTCTGTGGAAACTGTAACACTGAGGGACATGCAGAGACGGTGGAAACTATCATTTAAACCAGTAAACACAGAGTGGCAGATGATGCCTCTGTGCCAGACTGTTCCTTTAAAATTGATTTTTTTTTTCCCTTCAAGCATTTTTTAATATAACATTTATCTACTTGTACCTGAATTTTGGGTTTTCCTTTGTTTGAAAAAAAAAAAAAACATAAATTGAGACAGAAAAGTCAAACACTGGTGGATAAAAATTCACCAGAATGCAGAAAAAAATGTGTTTGATTCTCAAAGTTTCTTGGGGGAGGCCACCCAGAACCCAGCTTAATGTGTCCTCCCCAGTGTTCAAACAAAATCTACCTATACCTACCTATAGGCTCCACAGCAATGAAAATAATGACAAGACATTGTACATTTCAAGCAGTCATGTTTTACATGTTCCAATATTTCTTATGGGGGAGGGGGGCTCATATATGGGCCGTTTCCCACTATTTTTATCATGTTGCATAACCACAACATGAATAATATTATGAAATGTGATGTACAGTAGTAGGCCGAGTGTGTCAGATGTGTTTTTAAAAACATCGTGACTCATCTCTGCCTTCAGCTTTGCCAGAACAACCTCCTCTGAGCATCAACACCTACGCACATAATGAATGAAAGCTGAAGATTCTTGCACTGGCAGCAGCAGCTTGAATGAGGTCATTAAAGATAACATAGCGAGGAAAAAGCATTTTGAGCGCTGACAGGTCTGATATATATCATATTCACACTGCTGTTGCATTAAAAATAAGCACTGATCGACTGGGTTTAAACTGGTTTTTACCCATAAAATGTTCATGTGAAGCAGCGTGAGTCCTAATTCTAAGCTTCCAACAGGATAAATAGTAAAATGAAAAGTGAAACAAAGTATCTGGTTGAAGGCTAAAATGTTAAAGGTTGTGCAAAATCTGACTTCTTTAGCAAAGTGCTGTGTTATTATTTGAATCACTTTCTGTTCTTTATGATAAAAAACTAATAATAAATTGTATATAAAACCCACAAGCATTAGAAATTGGATAAAAGTTAGCATCAAAAGCCAAACAAAAGACTGCCAGGATCTATACTTGAACAGTTTTATTTATTAGTGATCAGATCTCATGAAAAAAACACTACTTAAATGAGATTAAATTAAAAACAAGACTGCACATTTACCAAATCAACTTTTACAAATTGGTACAAAGGAGGCTAAAAGGGAGGCTGTGAGGAAAAAGGTCAAATAAAACGGAATAATTCACATTAAAGGAGCAGTCTGCCTGCTGTCAGATGTTTGTTTCAGAAAACATGTGTGATGTGTTTAGCTTAGCTTAGCATAAAGACTGGGAACGGAGGGAAACTGCTAGCCTCGTTCCAACAAAGCAGACCAAAACACACCTTACAGCAGCTGCACAGCAAAAACATTTAAACCGGCTGTGTTGCTTTGAGCTGGTTTTAACAAGAGCTGGTTGAGGTTTTATTTACATGTAAAAACAACATGATTAGGCACATAAAAAGAAAAAAAAACAGACAGAAGCTGAGCAAAATCAGATTTTTACGCCTGACAATCCTTTTAGTTCCAGTGTTTGGAGGAAATATGGCAGCAAAAATACAACAGTAATCATTAAAAAAAAAAAGTTTGAACAGAAAAAAAAAATAAAAAAGTTTGTCCAGTTGAACTCAATTAATTGTATCATAAAACCTAAAGGATTACAACTATTTACAGAATCAGTGCACTTAATGCATAAATACCTCTACATGTAATTAGCAAATCTTGGCTTTAAAGGAACATTACGTAAAAATATCTAATTTACTAACTCTTGTTAGCATGAGGGGAAATCAAAAAGTTAAGATACAGTTCGTGACCGTGCTACATGTCAGGAGATCACGTGAATATTAACATCTGGACCGGTGTTACAGATGTTTTTGAGAAAACTGGCAGCTGCACATTTGCGGAGGATCGTCGTGGTGAACAGAGGAGGGTCTGCAGCTCGCATCAGGAGAAGAAACAGCAGCTTAACAGCAGAACAGCCAAGAGCATTTGTGCTGCGTTTGTCCCTTAGAGTTGGACTGTCAAGGTGGAGTTTGACTGTAACATCCTGAAGCGTCTGAACAACCTTAACTGCAGCTTGATGGCATGGTTTTTTTTGTTTAGCTGTGACAACACAATCGTTGTCTCCCTCCCGACTTACTCACTAGATTTGTCTGTCTTCCCCAAAATGTAATGTAAGTTGAATTGTTCTAACACAGTTGAGGAGATTCAGCTCCTCACAGACGGAGCTCGGCAGGTTTATATGATCAGACCTTAGTGGGCGTTTAGAAGCGTTGCAGGAGCACTGGAGCAGAGTAAAGCTGCACGAGGAGGTTTGCTTTAAATGGTGCATCTCAGAACTTTTTGATCACATCTTATATAGAAACATGGAATTAAAAATGAAGAAAAAAAATCTTGAATAAGTGGGAGTGTCCAGACTTTTTGACTGCTACTGTATGCTTTAGCCTTTAGGATCAGTCTTTGTCATTTCAGATA